CCCCCTACATTTCTCTTCCCACCTGACTTCCACTGCCTCCACAGTACACAACACTACCCGAGCCCAACCCCTCTGTGTCCCTTCCCTTTTCTATGCCGCTTTTCCCGTATTCTAAATAGAACAATTCAGCACCAAACCAATCCCAAAAGGCCACTTACCCTCGAGTCAGGGTTGCATGCGTTGCAAGCCAGTCCCATGAGGGGACGCTTCGGGTTGTCCGTGAGCACATCCCACTGCGAGTCCTTCAGGTGGAACAGACGCCTGTCGCTCAGCTGCAAATACAAGACGACAACATCGATAAAGGTCGGGCAGAGGGGATGAAACGACAAGACGGCGATAAACGCAACCAAATAACCACAACGCGCGATAACAATCAAACAGCAAAAGGTACTCACCTGCTTGGTGATCCGCTGGTTGTCCTGGCGCCGCTGCTGGCGCTGGTAGGACGCCATCCTCCTCATGGCGATGCCCGTGAGCGCGTCATCGGCGCCGGCGGGCTGCTGCGCCACGGGGGCGTTGGAGGCGGCGTGCGCCCCCGGGCTGCGGGGCCTCCACGTCGAGTACATGTCCTGGACGCGGGTCGTCAGCACGTCCACCATGGCCCGACCGCCACTGCAACACAAGGGCAAGGTCCTGTGACGGTGTGTCGTCCCACGGTGTTGACTTTTAAGGGCGTCTGTCCTCTGTGGGAACGCATCACCACCACCACCGCCACACCGCCCCGTTGAACATACGAAGAGCAAACAGCTGTCCAGACCAGACGGGGCGGAACCCGGGTCAGAACCTCCCGATTAGCCATGCTCGAGCAGGGAGTGCTAATGCCGGCTAATGCGCTAGGCTAATGGAGACGCTGCTCGACAGTTTACCATACCATCGGAGTAGCTTTCCGTGACGAGTCTGAGCAGCACGGGGCATAATAATTCAGTCACATAGTCACACGAAGCCGGTTCGAAAATAAAACTTAAAGGCGGGAGCAGCAGTGTTGTCAGGATGCCCGTTTGGCGCCAAATGTTTACCACCGGGAGCAGACGGGGGGCAGAAACCAAAAGTACAGGACAAAGAGTGTCGAAGTCGAACGGGCGAGACGGGACGGGACCGTGGCATTCCCTGTCGCTCGCGCACGGAGTCAGCAGCACGCCAGACTTTTTGGGTTCCCAAGTACTGCGAGGTGACGTCGCTGCGAGGCGTGGCACGTGGTGCGGCAGGTTTGGGGCGGGGTAGGGTG